AAAAAAAAGAGCTCATATGTGAAATTGTATTTTTCTTTGTAGAATACACATTACTAGCTTTGCTACATGCTCAAATCTAATGTATACCTTAGATCAGTGATTTTCAATCTTTTTCACCTCATGGCACACATAAACTAATTATTAAAATTCTGCAGCACACAAAAAAATCTATTTTTGCCACTCTGACAAAAAGAATAGCTATAATTTTGATTTATTTACACACCGGACAGCTATTGTTATTGTTATATTGGCTGTTGTCATTTTATTTGACAATCTAAAGAAAAAGAGGTCACTGCCCCTGACTAAATAGTCAGGTATTGCATGTTTTAAAAATTCTTGAGGAACATCAGTTGAAAATTGCCGGGTTAGAGTAATATCATTATGCCTTTTACTATTTTCAGATATCTCACATGGATTTGCCATTTGTAAATGGGAGAGGGCTCCTGAATCCAGTCAAACAAAGACCTGTGTTTACTACATTACCATGTCCCCCTTAAAGGGTGAAAAGAATAGTTACTAGGTAGATCAAAGGGCTTCTCTTTTATCGATCTCCTAGAAGATGATTAGATTGCCCTCATGTTTTATGCTGATATCCACAAGCTTACTAGGTGGGGGTAGGGACTAGCTAAAATTTATAGATTCTTACAATCCCTTCACACACACACACACACACACACACACACACACACACACCAGGATTGTAATAAAGCAGAGTGAGTCACACTGCGGACTTTATAAGATGTATGTTTTTACAGTGCTTCAGCAATTCTCTATGAAACAAAATAGAGAAAGCCCAGGGTACAAAGAAAAATGAAGACTGATCTCAGAGGAGTCTCTAGGCTCGCTTCCTCACTGATTAATTACTGTAGGTCACCACATGGCTACTCCTCTCCCCTGCTGAGGCAAGTGGTCTCTATTCTTTGTAAGTCTGAGACATTTCATTTTTAGCTCTATCACGTGCTGTTAGAGGTTATAGAGTGCTCAGCAAAGCGTAACCAAAATCATTAATATAAGCTCTGGAGTTTGGGAATACAATCAGTACCAGATTCTAGTCAATTGCTGATTATTGTACAGGGCATAAAAAGCATTCTTCCTTAGGAAGTGCTTATTAAAAAAATTTAATTCACTAAGGTTACCTGTTATACCATAAGTATGAGTATGAGAGGTGTAACTTCTATCTCTCATTATTTCCTGGCATAAGGATTCACACATGACATATAGAATTCCTGATGTCCTTTAGTGCTAGACAATATTTTATCTTTTCCGTAAGCCAGACTTGAGCTCAACAGAAGGAACTCCTTTCTGGCAATTAAAACTGTCTGCCTTCGCACTAATCCAGTCTGCAAAGTAGAAGCAACAAAGTCAACATTAGAATTATGGTGCCCTAGCTGGTTTGTCTCAGTGGATAGAGCGTTGACTTGCGGACTGAAAGGTCCCAGGTTCGATTCTGGTCACATGCCCAGGTTGCGGGCTCGATCCCTAGTAGGGGGCATGCAGGAGGCAGCCAATCAATGATTCTCTCTCATCATTGATGTTTCTGTCTCTCTCTCCCTCTCCCTTCCTCTCTGAAATAAAAAAAAAAAAAAAACAATAAACAAAAAAACAAAAAAACACAGACACCATCAGAACAAAATAAAAATGCAGTCAAGATCAAACCATAATATCCATTTATGTAAGTAGGTACTTGGAAAGCTTTCAGGAGATCAATATGGCATTTCATTTGTGAGTGGACTATTAATCTCTAGAATAAAATTTAGATCAGTACAGTTTTGAAGAAATGCCAATAATCAAACCTATGTACATAACAACATTGAAAAAGGGTAAAAATGAGAACCTACTCACCCTAGGCAGTTTGGCTCAGTGGAGAGAGCATTGGACTGTGGACTGAAGGGTCCTGGGTTTAATTCCGGTCAAAGGCACATACACGCAGGCTCCATCCCTGGCCCTGGTCTCAGAGCCATGTGGGAAGCAACCAATCAATGTCTCTCTCACATCAATGTTTCTCTCTCTGTCTCTCCCTCTCCCTTCCACTCTCTCTAAAAAATCAATGGAAAAATATTCTCATGTAAGGATTAACCAAAAAAAAAAAAAAAATGAGAACCTACTCTTTGGTCATGGTCTACTGAAGAAAACAAAGGTGAACATTCAGAATCATTATCTGCTTGAAACTTCTCTGTTACCAGGGCTTTCCTAGAAGAGAAAATATACCATGAAGGTTGCAACTCTTTGAACTTTCAAGGGGGTGGGGGGAAACCCAATTAAAACAATTAGTCACACATTTGATAAGTGCTTATGACCTGGTGATCCTACAAGAATATTCATCTAGGATTGAATCACAGAGTATATGTTCTGGACAAGCTGAATGGGACAAATACATGGGTCAGAGGTGTTACTTCTAAGAATTCAAAGACAAAGTCACTGTAGGAGAGTCATCCTGTGTGCAAGGCCTGTGAGCTTGGGATCAAGAGGAGGAATAGTCAGAGACTAGGTAAGAATGTGTCTGACTCAATCAAGAGGGAAAGGCAATACGTGGAAACGAAGGGGAAGCTCAATGAAGCCCAAGATCAGAGGGAATGACTTGGGCCTATACTAGAGAGAAAAGATTGGGATTGCATTTCAGGGAGGAACTGAAAAACCTGCCACGCATGCATTTTGCCAAAATACAACTGCCACAAACTGTCCTCTGGGCAACTTTGCTTAGTATCACCTCAGAAAGGGCTTACACAAAATCTGAGTCCTGCAAACTGTGCCGGTCAAATCTCTTTTAGCCATTGAAGTTAGCCTCTGGAATCTGCCCTTCATATACTCTTAGTTGTGCAGATTTGAGAATTTAGTTTTGTTTCTACTTATGTTCCTAGTAAACATTCCTTTTGAAAAAACTTGATGGTATCTCAACAAAACGAAATGTATGCTGCTGGTGCAGGAGCAAGGCTAACACAAGACCAGACAGGGCATTTGTTTGTTTTTCCTTCATCTAAGTCTTTGATCCTCTGGTTATTTAAAGACAGTTACCTCACCCCTAAGTTGCATTTCTCCAAGTTAACCAAAAGCAATTTGGAGTTTCAAGGTCTCTCCTTGACTGTTCTCTATCCCATTGCTCTCCTATCTCAGTACCTTTGAAGTAAGCTCCCCAGTATTGGACATATAAGGCATTAGGGATTAGAATTATTAAGTCCATTGATCTGAAAGTGTATTTCTGTTGATACTGCCCAAGATCATACGGATCTGGGTACAGATCCGTAAACTAATCAATCAGCATTCTTACTTAGTTCACTGCCTGGTAGTAACAACAGGCCAGATACAACCAACCAGCTACAACTTAGTTGAGATTCTTAGAGGTCAAATCCAGGATGGAGAGAGGGAAAAAGGGTAGAATTTTTTGTGACTCTTAAGAGTATTTAGCAGTATCTGCCTTTTATTAAGATTCTGAGATAGCCCTAACTGGTTTGGCTCAGCGGATAGAGTGTCGGCCTGCGGACTCAAGGGTCCCAGGGTCGATTCCAGTCAGGGGCATGTACCTTGGTTTCGGTCACATGCCCAGTGGGGAGTGTGCAGGAGGCAGCTGATCGGTTTCTCTCTCATCGATGTTTCTAACTCTCTATCCCTCTCCCTTCCTCTCTGTAGAAATCAATAAAATATATTTTAAAAAAAGATTTTGAGAGATGTGCCTGGATGGCATGGCTCAGTGGTTGAACGTCGATCTATGACCCAGAAGGTCATAGTTTGATTCCTGGTCAGAACACATGCCCGGGTTGCAGACTTGATCCCCAGTGTGGGGTGTGTAGGAGGCAGCCGATCAATGATTCTCATCGTTACTGTTTCTCTCTCTCTCTCCCTTTGAAGCTCTCTGAAATCAATAAAAATCTATTATTTAAAGAAAAGGATTCTGAGATGTGTAATAACCCAAGCCTGAGTTCCTTGAAGGAACTCTGCTTTAATTTTCTTGTCCACACAATGTCTAACAAGTGATAAATTCTTTTGACTTGTTCATTGCAGAAATGTTTATCAAAGAATTACATTTAATATTTTACTTAAAAATAAGTATTTTTCCATGTTAATGTAATTTATAAGTTCTGAGCCCTTGGAATATCCTGTCTTTTATATGCCTAAGACCTTGGGCCACACAAAAAGTTTATGCTAACAATATGATTTATGATAAATGCCTGTTTTCTTATACCTGGGGCCCCAGGACATGCTGTATCAGTTTGACCACTGGGCAAGTGCTGGGTCTCAATGGCTGAATCAATCACATGGGCACTGCATGCCCATGTGACAGACTCCCAGTAAAAACCCTGGACACAGT